GGATGTATATATGGACTGTGATGGGAATTATACGAGCCCTCAATAAAATCAATAAAAACAAAAAAGAAGCCTCCACAGTACTGTGGTGGGCACTGCACAAGAGGGGGTAAGCTGACCACCAGCAACCCCTGGGGCCCAGCAGTGGGCAGTGAGCACAAGGGTCACGGGAACCCCTGCTTGGACACCTGAAAGGATACGGACAGCCAGCCAGGCACAGGGCCAAGAGCACAGCCCACAAACACGGGCCTCACAGAACACGAGCATCAGTGTCCTGCTGGGTGCTCCTGTGCTGCACTCTTGGAAGTGGGGAGGAGGCCACGCATTGGAATGCAGGGGTGGGGAGTTGTGCCTGGGCATGGGTGCTTCGCGGACACACTTAAGTTTCGTGTGGCCCTTTATCACTTACTGAGCATCTTGCAGCCAGGATCTCATGTACTTCTTAGAAGAATCGTGTGACCTAAGCCAGGTCGGATTTACTCCCCATTTTACAGCCAGAGTCAGAGAGGCTCAGAGAGTTTAAAGGCCCAGAGCTAGTTGTCCCAAAACCAGGAGCAGAAGAGACAGTCTCTCTGGGTCTGGAGTCAGTGTCTTCTCATGCATTCTGCATCTTCTCCTGTGGGCACTTTGTGGCACAGACTACGAGGAGTCCCAGGGGCCGAGGCCTCCGGTGGAAGGCTGTGCTTTTGGGTTTCAGCGCGCGCATGCACACACACACACACACACACACACACACACACACACACTCTCTATCTCTCTCTCCCCACCCCACCCCCTCGCACCCCCTTCCGGGTTTGTTATGGTTAGGGGGACTTCTGCAGCAAGGTCTCTCCTGTTTCCATGGCTGACCAGCTGGCAGCCAGAAACAGGTCAAACTAGTTCAGGGCAGGGGTAGATACTGGGGAACCAGGACTGTGCAAAGTGAGAGAGACAAAGCACGCGTGGAGCCCACACCTCACACGTCTGGATGAGTGCACAGAAGTGTCTGCTAATCCCGACTCAAACACCGGCTGCAGTAGGCGTCCTCACCCTTCCCAGCCCCGGGGAGCTGTTGGCTAGTGGGTTGGGGGCTCAGAGGCCTGGGTGAAAGATGAGTCACACTTGGGAGGGGTAGGACAGGCCTTGACCTGCTCCTGCCCCTGAATTATTAGGTCATCTCTTCCTCGGCTTTGCTCTTATGACTAAGAACCATCTACTTCAAGGCAAGGGTGTGAGAAAAACTGCAAATAAAATGCTATTTGCTTTGCCTCTTTCGCCAGGAGACCAGAAGAAATGAATCGTGCCTGGCTACTTTTTTATCAAAAACTTTTAAATAAAAAATCCCATAAAAGAACTGGGATCAAGGGCACAAAATGCAGGACAGAATATCAAATTCT